TTATTTAAGGAACCAGACGGGCAACCAGAAAGGAGGGCATTACAGTAGTCTAGTCTGGACCTGAGAGAGCCAGTGCTGTGAGGATGAGCAGGGCTGGTAGGAGCTTCATGGCTGCAGGACAGAGGGAGGAGCACTGAGGTAAAGTACACACTGAGTCCCAGTGACTGCTGCTCTCTGTCACACACTGACACTGGCTCCTTTAAAAGCTATGACAGGTTTGTACAGGATCCTCCTCTGATGGGTGTGGGGCGTGTTGTGGGGGGAAAATGGTCACATGATAAAGAGATGAATTTGCTTTGTAAAGACTTATTATACAAATATTATCTACGTGCAGTTCAGTCCACAAGCAATAATTGCACAATTTTTGTAGAATCTAAAATCAAGTTTCACTATGACCTCATTGTAAATGTTTTAAAATGCACTAATGCGTAACAGTATATATTCAATTACCTTGCTTTATTTTGTCTTATGCAAGATGTTATTTTCTTATATTCCTTTACCAAGTCTGTTACTCAGCTTTCAATTCAATAAAATATTCTGCAAGTGTAAAACTATTCATATTTTTAAAATATGACAATCATATTACAAGATTTACAACAAAGCAATACAGCTGCTACAGTCTATCTAAAATGGGTTTCAGTCTGATATCTGTGTCACTATGCTGCCTGCATTTACTGTCACGCTGCAGACATCTTGTGGTTCCTTCTGGAAATGCAGTCATTGTATGTAGTTTGATAATCGATTCATTTCTACAGACCACAGACAATTCTACAGCCTTCAGCCTGTTTACACATTATATACGAATTGGATCCCATATTTCCTTAGACTGATAGTGGCAGCCCTGATCTATATAAACACCTTAATTACTACAGAACAGTGAGAACACAAGAATTATATTAAATGTCTTTGAAATTTCTTTTTCTTATCATCATAAAGCTTTATATCCTGGCAGTCTGTTGCATTCATGTATGAAATGGGTGAAATGATTTATACTTTGTGACATGTCTTTACATATTTATCTTGATTCCTAAGACATTCTTAATTGGCATATTTCAGGGTATTGGTAATTAATTACTGTTGATAGATTAATAGTTTTTAGATTTACATTTTTATGTTAAAATATAAAAATAAGGGCATACTTAAAACACCTCAGTTTTATCTATGGTACATTAATTAATTGCAGGACTGAGGGATTTATTCCTTAGTGAGTCCTTGTAATAAGTGTCCCCATCACCACAAATCACAGCAAACCTCTCCAGTGCTTTTCCTGACGGCTGTCGGATGAAGCTGGTACAGTAACTGCTGTCAGTGAGTGAATAACCAGAGACTTTACAG